GTTGTCGGCAACATCGACGAAGATCGGCTCATTCAACATATCCACGTTAGCGCTATGAAAGCTGAGAGTTCGAAAGTCACCAAGAGACGTTTGTCTCCAGAAACACTCGAGCTGATACGCCAGCGTGGAATCGCACGAGCAGCAGGCAACCGCGAACTAACGTCCGAACTTGCAAAACAATGCAGACAGGCGATAAAAGTAGATCTTAAAGAGAGAAGAGCGCCACTAATGGTCGAAGCTGCAGAGGCTAGGAAAAGCATTCGCAAAGCCCACCGAAGCTTCGCCAATTACAAGACCAAGATGATTGCACTCCGGCGCCTAGACGGAACAGTTACAGCGTCCAGAAAAGCAATGAGAAAAACGAATACTGCTCAGACCTCGTCAATAGCCACGTCCACCTCCAGTCATATGAAAGAAAAGAGGATGGATATGTTGTACCACAGGTTCCCCTTCCGAAGTCCGACAATGCCATTTCGTCGGTGAAGAATGGAACAGCACCAGGTCCGGACAGGAAAAGATCAGAACACCTGAAGAACCCTCCGCCAGTTCTTATAAGCATACTGGCTCGGCTCTTCACAAGTTACCTGTCTGAATGCGAGGTCCCTACTCAGTGGAAGACCAGCAAGACCGTGTTATTGTTCAAGAAGTATGATCTACACGATATTGGCAACTATCGTTCAATCTGCTTACTCTCTGTCGTCTACAAACTTCTCACTCGAGTCATCCTAAACAGGATTGACAGAACACTGGACGAAAGACAGTCATGTGAGCAAGCGGGATTTCGAAATGGATTCAATACGATGGACCACATCCACACGATAATAAGGCTCATTGAAGTATTGCGAGAGTACAAAAGACCGCTCTCTCTCACTTTCAACGATTGAGAGAAGGCATTTGATTCAATTGAGATAGAAGCAGTCATGGAAACCCTCAATAGTGAAGGAGTTCCTACACAGTAAATAAAGGTTTTTCGTGAGCTGTACAAAATTGCACAACCAAGATATCACCATTCTACAACGATATTATCATTGATATCAAAAGAGGGGCTAGGCAAGGCGATACCATCTCGCCAAAATTATTTACCGCCACCTCCTAGAACGTGATGCGAACATTGGAATTGGATAATATGCGAGTGAAAATCGACGGTCGGCAGTACACCATCTTCGCTTTGGGCGACTCTTCTCACAAAAATGATGTTCATGAAGAACGGATTGGTTTCGCATGCCCCATTCACGCTCAACGGAACGAATATCTCCAAATGCTCCAGTTATATCTATCTAGGTCGCGAAATCAATATGATGAACGACTTAGAACCAGAGCTGAGGAGAAGGAAACGAGAGCAAAGGGAGCTTTCAAGAGCATCGAGGAGGTAGTGAAGAGAGCAAAGAACAGCCAACTGCGGGCCGAACTTTTCGACTCAGCGGTACTTGCTGCCCTAACGTATGCGTCAGAAACTTGGTCGCTGCATAAGCAAAATGAAAGATTGTTCAGCGTTATCGAGCGCGCAGTCGAAAGGATGATTCTAGGAGTATTCCGTTTCACACAAGTAAGTGATGGGATCCGAAACTCCGACCTGCGTCAACGATGAAAAATCAAAGATACCGTTCTGTACGCCAAAAAGTCGACGTTAAGGTGGACTGGACACGTAACGAGAATGAATGACAGCCGATGGACAAGAGCCGTCAGTGACTGAATTTCTCGGGATGTCAAACGTACTGCAGGATGACCACCGACCCGATGGTCAGAGTTCTTCACAAAGAGCCTTGACGAAAGATATGATTCTCGACTAGTCCCTTGAGCGAGCAGAACCCACTGGGCCACTCTTGCACGCGATAGAGAAAAATGGAAGATTTAGTGGCGCCCGCTCGAGTCACTCGCCGATTAACGGGACTACAGGTGACACAGGTGACAGGTGATTTAGTCGCAGTGAATTCATGTTTGAAGCTGAGAGAGGTTAAGGACGTCCTTTTGCTTCTGAGAAGTAAACATAGGTACTAGGGTTTGCTTACCTAGGTATTTAGATGGCTCATCTTCGCCGGTGGTGTAGACCCTAGTACTTTTTCCAGGATAGAGTGGCTTGGTGGTAACAAATGCATGCATAATTGTTTGAGAACTTTTGGAAGGCCTTTGTATGCGCATCTGAACTGTTTCGGACTTTAAAAAACATTAGATGGCGAAAGAAGGTCGACGAATGTGTACCTCATGAATTAAATAGCAAAGAGATCGCTATTTCGAGGCATCCTCGAGGCTTTTTCTGAGCAATTAGAACTACCCGTATATCGACTGTATTGTGACGTGCGACAAGAAATGAATCCGACAGTCGACTACGATGTTCGACCGCGATGAGGCTTCGTAGAACCTCGCAAAGACCGTCAGTGGAAAAGGAGCAATACTTCTCCGTGCGGGCATAAGCCATATAACTAAGGCTGAAGAAGCTGGGCGAGGTGGACCACGAAGCTCCACCCCATCCACCATACTAGTCAGACCTCTCTTTTACCGACTACCATTTCTTCAAGCACGTCGACAACGTCCTGTGCGAGAAATGCTTCAAAAACCAAGCTGAGGCAGAAGCAGCTTTCAGCAACTTCATCGCGTTCAGCAGTTCAGAATTTAGGCGACTGGAATTGATAAACCTATATGTCGCTGGCAAAAATGAGTAAATTCTAGTCCTTTTTATTCTGATCACTAACGTTTATCATGAGATGAAACATTTTGAAAATACAGGTGGAAATTCGACATTATTTCCCAGAAAACCTAGTAATTAAGCAGTTATTGTCGATTGACCTTTAATTCAGAGCACTTCCAAGTGATGAGCCACACTCAGGAAAGTCAACATTTCACATACTATTTATCTGTATGACCTATTTTCACATCTATTGTGCCGATGTCAGTATCTCTAACATTCAATTCCTTTCCTCGCATCCACAATCCACGAAGCTCTTCGAACATTTGCGTGTGGGTTCAGCCGCTACTTGATGGGTTTTCATCGTCGTCATGAATGTCGATGAATGCTGCTCGCACTCATTCTTTTTGAAATCTGCTCAAGCGTCGGCAACTTTTCGTCGCACGCAGTAGCTGACATTTGTGGATACGATCGAGCGTATCATGCAATTCCAGTAACAATTTGACGGCCCCGAAAGGATGAGGAGTTGGTTATCCTAGAGCCAAGCCGAACTAATAACTGCGTGTATTTTACACGGTATCTCTAAGCACTAAACATTTCGCCTCCATAATTTGTATTTAGCACCAGCAACACTATATCACAAACACACTACATCCAATTAGGTAGGTTTTTTGGTACGTGCCCTATGGCAAAATGCTGGCTAGACGTCTAATTAGGAAAACGCAGAAGACTTTGGAATAAAATTTCTATAACAAGTTTAGTTCTCAATCGAATTCCTTGTTTCCTTTTTAGGACTTCTTGACACATCACATTTATGGTTTACTGTCGAAGATATCACAAACCCAGTTTTCGTGACTGCTTTCTCATCGAATCATCAGCGAGAAGTAGTTAGCCTTGTGGGCGATATTTCATTTTCTCCCTTATCATTCTGCTAATTCCTAGTCGAGATTTTCCAAAAAAAGCAAAATTTTTTTAGAGCAGTTTATATTCCTTTCCTAACTTTAACTACAACCTATACCACCGATATAAGAAAGGTCAAAGCTCTCAGCGTCGATCAATCTCTGAGGGATACGCCATGCATGCGATATCACTAAACAACGTCGGAGGTGTATGAATGCATATTTGGCCTTTATAATGACTCGCGGTGGCCTATCAATGTATCGAGTCAGTGCTGCTATCCTCCCAAGCAAGTCTGACACCAATTTGCCAATTTTGGAGGGATGGAGGGTTTAGTGGGCCTAGAGCGCAGGAATCGATCCCCTATGCATTGCGCTTCCGACCACTGCACCACACGCGCCGGCCACCTAAAATCCCGTAAATCAGCTACCGTCAAGGGCAGCAACTACCACATTTTTCGCCCAATCCAGTCAGAACTGACACAGGACTCCGCTCACGCGGGGACAAGACAAGGAACATGGACTTGGTATGGGATGCCTTTTTTCAGTTTTTTGGAAAGACGATATCGGTATGAATAATTCGTTGGGCTATGAGATAGTTTACGCTGATATTTTTTCTGAACGCGACACTGATCGCCCTCTATGTGCGTCTCAATCAGCTAACCGAGGAATTTTTGAGGAAGTCGCCACTTATGCTTCAATTCTACACACTACAGTACTCTTATGCATATAACTGTGTATGTAAAAAACGGAGCTCAACCTATCTCCTGAATTCATAAATATCTCAGAGCAAGTAAATGGTTAGCTCAGCTTTGATTCACGACTGACCCCCTATATGCCCCTATTTGGTGAACGTGTTACTAGCTTCGGTACCAAACTAGGCCCACATCTTATTTCAAAGAAATCCGTAGTTCTAACCTTTTATATTTACAGCCTATTTATTACCTATTTACAGCCTTTTTAACGACAGGGTATTTTGCGAAATATAACCACTATAATGCTGAGATATTTGCGATTCCGGACCACAGGTGTCTATGGTGAGAAACGAACGCGCTGTTGTCCCTTCCGGGGAGTAACGCGTTCACCACCACACCATGCGGGTCCTTCGTTGATGGTAAAAGATCGACAGAACTAGCTGAGAGACAGGCGAAACGAAGGACCTGCATGGTGTTTGGTGGTGAACGCGTTACTCCTCGGAAAGGACAATAGCGCGATCGTTCCCCACCATAGACACCCGCGGTCTGGATTGCAAATATACAAAACATAGTCTTGCAAATATCTAAGCAGTATAGTAGTTAAATCTGTAGTCAGTTACAAGCGGTGAAAATCATAGAACCTCTGCTAAAATTCACACTGAAGTATATTTTTTCAGTTCGAATCCATTGAAAAGTACTGGCCGAAACAACGAGTGATTGCCTACGATTTAGGAGACGTTGATACACGAAAATTTGAGGTCGAAACTTAACACAAAATGAAGGATGTTATACAAACTCCGTCACACGGATTTCTCCTTTCAGAAGTGGAATTTTCTCGAATTTCGTCAGTTCAACTTTGCTCGTTATCCTCAGTACGTCAGAAACCTGGATGAATTCCGTTGGAAACCTATTATTATTGCAGTAAGTGCAAGAATTAATTCAAAATAAGCAATTAGATATCTTTATTGAAGGAATAACAAGCCTCATAAAATATGCTTTCTTGTGAAAAAAAAAAGCCTGTGGACACGTAGCTGAAAATCGAAACGATGCAAGGAGATAAAAACCTGACCAGTTAATCAGATAGAGTCTAACCACTCGATCACTAATACTTGAACGGTCTTCTCACGAATTCTGTGAGTTCTGATATAATTTCCATTTCACTCTTGATAATAGGGAAACTGTTTCTTTCTTCTAATGTTCAAGGAGCTGTGCAAGGGTGTTCCTGAGGTCGTCACCACTCAGGATCAAGGGAAGGAACGTTCTCTCTAGAACAGTACTTACGAATAGATCTTGGTATCGATATAGTCTTTTTTCACTAGGAACACAAGTTGTAGAAGAATCCTTCATTGCATATCACCGCTCAGCAGCTGTACGTATCCCTTCACCACGGCCTAGACCAAAGACCATTAAGCGAAGAAAAGTTTCTACTTGAATAAGGCATCTGAATTACCTGTAAACTATAATCATCTGTAACACGTATCTGACCAACCAAATGAGCTTCGAATGGCATTGAGAGTGGAACAATTTTTCCGGGAATGAGTACTGGTTGTACTCACCGATAACTTTTCGGTTGTAAATATGTGGCGTTGCGGATAATCGTGTTGAGACTCTTCGCACGAGAATAACTCGTGGATGTGAATATTAAGTAAATAGGTATGGTGTTTCCATTTAAACGTTTAGTGCTAGAGAAATTTCCACTTGCACACTAGTATGACTTCCTTGAGCCAGAAATTTTCTTATTTGGTTTCTTATAACATACGTAGCACTTTTTATTACAATTGCAACACAACGAAATGAGTGGATGACGAGTTCAATTGCCCGGAATCGCATACGTCGGTACGAACTATCTAAGTGAATGTGTAAGAAAAAAAATCCTTTCCAACCATCAGTGCTAATTCAAACAGCAACATCGAATGGTAAAAAAAAAACTTCCACTTTAACTTGCTTAATAAAACACGTCGTTTTAGTAAATGTTTCTTTTTCCAATAGGAGATGCTGAAGGAATTTAGTTCGATATGGTACATGGATAGCTCCATTGTTTTCAAAAAAAGCGATCTCAGTCATGTTTACGAACTTATTAACTGTCGTAAATATGTTACTAACAGGTTCGTTAACAAACAGTAATTCATAATGCCAAGCATTCCTGATAGTTGGAAATTTTTAGACTTCCAGTGAAACCAATTTTTGCCAGAGATTTGAGAGAGGCACTAACCGAGCATGAAAGTGGTTGGGATGTCGACCAGTGGAACCAAAACGTGGATGAGTGCAGAAAGATGAGTAGTGTGCTTTCATCTCACTGTGTAGGGCAGTAGTACGCCATGATATGCCTTGAGCGTTAATCACTAAGACTTTTCACAAAAGAACTTTCTATGTCGGATCTTTGAGTTTATAACTATTCTATAACCGATAATGTTCAAAACGACTCAAACAAATATATCGATATTTAGGAGACACGTGACAAATTATTAAAGGTCGCTGCAACAAAACACTGTCTTTGGTTAAAGCCCGCGAAATCAAGTCTGGCATTTATGCAGGCTCCGCAAATTGGTTCCAGACTCATATAAGAGGATAAGAACACTGACTTGATATATCGACATATCATCATAAGTCACTGTGTAGACTAAATATGGATTCATCACCTCAACGGTTCCCAGCGCAGACAAATGCGTGGCGCATCTCTAAGGAACTGATTAACACCGAAGACTTTACACACTTTCCAAAGGTCTACTTCTTCACAAACTGGGTACTGATCGCTAAGGTACTGTGTTCTCACGGATTGCTTTTGCTGAGTTTACACGACGTCTTACACACGTTTGGTTAACGTTTGGACCAATTTCACAGTATGAAAAGTGAACCTACACTACGATTTAGATGAACATTTTTTCAATTATTATCTTATGTGAACACTATAAGGGTGCTATCATTTCCTGTGGGGTGGTCTACGAGAAGCGATTAATGTTCACAAACACCATGATTGCTAACTAGGATTCGAGTTTTTTGTAGAACTGGTCCAACGAATACGACTCAGACACAAGTCATGAGAATATTTGACAGATGAGGCCGCGCATTAATATGCTCCAGACTCTGAAGAAGATGAAACTAAGCACTTTGACAGTTTTCTACATGCTTGAGGCAGGAGATTGGTATGAACTTTTTATTCGGCTAAGGTCTCGACATCGTCGTTTTCTTCAGAGCCGGATTGATCCGAGTCGATGATCCACAGGTCGCCATCGCTGTCGCGATGTGGATGTTTGTTGTCGCATTGAGTCGAATTTAATGGAGAGAGCACCGTTTGAGTGGGTTTACTCCACTCAGAGGTACCCTTTTATACAGGACTGTTGTTGATCGATTCCAAGCCTTCAATGTGATCTACTTTGGGCAGACAATGCGTGTCTAGCAGACGGTACTTCGTTTGCAAGCATACAGAAATTGAAGCAACAAATTGAAATTCATCAGTAAAATCAAATTAACAGTTACTAGGGTCTTTCTGTCCACCAATAATCTCAGAGGAGTTGGTGCACCAGGTGGAAATGAACCGACAACTCCCAACATCAGTGGAAAACAAGATAAAAAAGGATAAAGCTTTCGGCGTTGATTTATCGCTGAGATCGCACCAGTGCTACTATCCTCATAGACAGGTTTGTTACCAACTGCTGACCCTGGAGGGATGGAAGGCTTGGTGGGCCTGGGGCGCCAAAATCGATAACATGCGTATTTGCAGGGCGCCTGTGACTACTGCTCTACATGGAACACAATATGCAGTACAAAGTATACCACACTTATTAAACTTTTTTTTAAAACATTAGTCGAATATAAGCATTTTGACTTGATACAATCCGCCTGTATGGCCACTACAACATCCATAGCAATCTGGACCAGACCAACTCATGGCCACTATACTTACTTGGATACCTCGATCGCCCGTCTTCACTGGTTTTGTGGCCACAACATAACTTGCACGTTTTCGGAGTTTTGCTGGTTTAGCCATCGTGGTTTCTTGGAGTTCCGAGGTCAGCCTAGCCAAAGTCTGCCCGAGGTCGTCACCAGCCCAGGCAGTCGCCGCCCTTGTGGATTAGAGAGAGATTTGGCAGCATGCAACTAATTTGTTACTAGGACTGTAGTGGATCTTGATAGTGATTTACTCTTGGCTAGGCTTCCTGACGGAAACGCCGGACTCCTTCTCAGCTTACGAGACACTATTGCGGAGATGATTCCCCTGCTGTACACCGCAGCACGACAACCAGGAACAGCTCCTAACCGCGATGAGGCGACAAACCGTTCGGAGATGCGGGCATTACAGTGCCCATGTTGAGTTTAGTGGATCCACAGATTTTGTTTTCCTTACCTTACTATGTATATTCATTCGATAGGTAATAAAAAGAAAATCAAAATGGGAAGGTGAAAACAGGAAAACTTCTCTCTACACTTAAAGATTTACAAAAAACGTATTTTTGGAAAAGTTCATTGACCAGTTATTAAAATAAAACTGTTATCTCATTTTAGTCACGATGGCTATTGTATAAAATGGAGGATATACAAAACACCGAAATAGACTCAACATAGTTCCCAGGATCGACTTTCTCTTAACCTCGGCATTGGAATATGAATGCGTCGTTTTCTTGTTCAGCAATCGCGAGGTTTTTAAGCAGCATACATTTACTTCCATAGAAAAACACAATACAATACAACGCTAGCTGACGTTTCGGCAGTATCGCCTTCTTCAGAGCCTGGAAGGGTATGCTGATATACAATCTACTAGGCAAAACGCTTCAATAACACTTACACAAACCGTTTATGTTGCCTTTTATAAGCGATGAAGTAAGCGCAGCTATAAAACGATGCTTAAGAAGGGCAGGTCTAGAGGAATCGGTAGCGATAGTTGAAATGCCACCGACTACTCTACGTCGCCAATTAGTTCGCAACCGCCTGTATGACCGTCTGTGTGAAACACCAAATTGCGTAATTTGCCCTTACGGCAGGGACGGTGATTGCATGAGCTCAGGTACGATATACCTGATCTCTTGTAACAATTGCGGAGATGAATATATTGGCGAAACGGGCAGACCTTTGTGTATCCGTATAAAAGAACACCTAGATGGCAAACGAAAACTAAGACGAAGCACCCCACTAGGCACGCATAGGATACAAAAGCATAGCGGAGACGATTTTGAAGTAAAAGTCAATATCCTTGCACAGGAGTCCAAAACACCAGCGCGAAAACTCCTAGAGGCCTTTTGGATCAGTGCCCAAAACCCTACAATGAATAGCAGGGATGAATGCCCGGAGGTCATAAGCGACCTGGTCCCGTACGTTCGCATCGATTTTTGATGTGGGATGGTGCAGNTGTAACAATTGCGGAGATGAATATATTGGCGAAACGGGCAGACCTTTGTGTATCCGTATAAAAGAACACCTAGATGGCAAACGAAAACTAAGACGAAGCACCCCATTAGGCACGCATAGGATACAAAAGCATAGCGGAGACGATTTTGAAGTAAAAGTCAATATCCTTGCACAGGAGTCCAAAACACCAGCGCGAAAACTCCTAGAGGCCTTTTGGATCAGTGCCCAAAACCCTACAATGAATAGCAGGGATGAATGCCCGGAGGTCATAAGCGACCTGGTCCCGTACGTTCGCATCGATTTTTGATGTGGGATGGTGCAGTCGTCAACCACATGCGACTATAATCAGCTGTTCTAAACTTCCTCATTGGAAGTCACGAAAAAGCGGTGGGTTTTTCGAGAAGCTGTTGATCATGTAACTGCCATAGAGTCTTTCGTCTTTGTGTAAGTGTTATTGAAGCGTTTGGCCTAGTAGATTGTATATCAGCATACCCTTCCAGGCTCTGAAGACGGCGATACTGCCGAAACGTCAGCCACTATTG